TAGATAGATAGATAGAGAGATATACATATATATATATATAAGGATTATTTCGAGATGCTTCTTCATGCAGGGTTCACGGGGAAGTATGGAGCTTGGCAGTGTGCGGGTCGTTCTACCGCGGCCGATGGGCGTTCGCCACAGGGCTTTCAGCAGTTGGTATCTGTAGGGATGGGTTTAGGGTTTAGGGTTTAGAGTTTAGGGTTCAGGGTTACAGATTAGAAAATCCTAAACCTCAGCCCTAAGCCCTACATCGCCATCCTCCCTGAACCGCTGTCTCGAAGGCTCTTGCAGAGCTCCATGCTCGCAATTGCATCCACAAGGCCTGACCTGGAGCTCTTAACTTGGTCTTTTAAATGGTAAACCCTAAACTTGGGAGCCTTAATATTTCATTAGGATAGGGTTTTGGGGCCCATTATACTATAAGTATAGTAAGGAACCCCGAAGAGTAGAGGTAACTATTAAGGCCCCTACATTCCTATAACGTTTAGGCCTTAGGGGTTTAGGGTTTATAATTTAGGGCGAGAGTCCTGGCATCGTGTGCGGATGTCCAGGGTTGCATCTTCGACCTCTCTAGTTTAGTGTTCATGGTACGGGTTCATGTCAGTGTGTTCTTTGAATTATGTTTTATTTGCAGTTATAGTGGAATTCCAACGATGATGAAGTTAGAAGTACCATATTTATGTTTCTAAGGGCGCTTATGAAGGAGTTTAGGTTCCCAACCCTGTGGACCGGACTTTCGCAGCCATCCATTCCACATGCGCGAAACATGATGTAGGGTTTAGGGTTTAGGGTTTAGGGTTTAGGGTTTAGGGAGGTAGGGTTCAGGGTTCAGGATGTATGTGACCCTAAGGGTCCAAGTACCTAATAGTCGTATACTCTCCTGAATACTAACCTACAGAGCTACTTTCCGTAACCCAAGTACATGATAATTGGGTCCTTTGGACCCTTAGGGTGAGTATAAGTACATGTTCTAAGAGTGGGGAACGTGTTCCGTGATTCGCTACCTTGCGTCCTCGACCTCCTGACTCTCAGGACTTTAGGAGGGACTCTTAATAGGGACCCTTAATCCCATTACCTCGAATAACCATTGTATAGTCCTTATATACCCCTTATATAGCCAGGTAGTCTCCATATTTCCCCCAATAACCTACAAGAGTCTCTAGTAAGGGTCCCTCCTAAAGCCCTTGGACTGACGAGATTTCGCTGCCACGCTGGTCAGGACCTGAAGTTGGAGAACATCATGTTTGACAGGACTTTGCAGCTGGATGTGCTTGTGTAGGAATCCATTTTCTGTTGCATCGGATGTCACTTTGCGTTCCTGGGTTGGCATGAAAGCCCTAAACTAGGACTTCGAGACTCTGTGTTCCGGGCTTGAGGCTGGCTTTGGGGGTAGGACTGCTTCAGGTTTACCCACAGCTTCAAAGCTGTGCTTTGTTACTGCTGGTATCTACTGTTGCTGCAGCTGCTGCTGCTGCTGCTGCTGCTGCTGCTGCTGCTGCTGCTGCTGCTGCTGCTTGGGGCAGCCGCGGTGGCAGCTGAAGAAGAAATCATCGTCAGCATGTGCAATATAGCTATCATTGTGGGTAGTACTTTTGCAAGTGTCTATGATTGCTTGTAACATAGGGGCCTAAGCAATTACCAATACTATTTTGGTGGTTCCTGACTATAGTTATAGTATAATTGAATGGGCCCCAAAACCCTATTCTAGTTTTTAAGGCCCCTACACCCGAAAGCCCTATAGTAACCCCTATAGAAACCCTTATAGACCCCTTTAAGAACCCTTTAAAGGACGCCTATTCTAAGTACTGAGGCCCCTACAGTCGCTCTCGTCCTTCGGAATCTCTGAGAAGTCCCAAACCCTCAACCCTAAACTCTAAACCCCTAAACCCTGAAACCGCTCCACAGGACTCCGCCAGCGAACGCCAAGGTCGACTGGGCCAGCTTCATGGGTGGCGACCAGTCTCCCGTGAAGGCCGATAAATTTAGGGTTTTAGGGTTTACGGTTTAGGGTTCCTTTAAAGGGTTCTTTTAAAGGGTTCCTCAAAGGGTTCTATAAGGGCTGCTATAAGGGTTTAGGGTTTAGGGTTTTGGGGGCCCTTAAAGGGTTCTATAAGGGCTGCTATGAGGGTTTAGGGTTTAGGGTTTAGGGGTTCCATTAAAGGGTTCCTTAAAGGGTTTAGGGTTTAGGGTTTAGGGGTTCCTTTAAACGGTTCCTTCAAAAGGGTTCCTTAAAGGGCTGCTCTCAGGGTTTAGGGTTTAGGGGCCAGTCTCCGGTGAAGGCCGATTATCTGCGACTCGGGGCTTTAGGGGTTTAGGGTTGAGGGTTTAGGGTTTAGGTAGTCGTAGTAAAGTCATAGTAATATCATCGGTTTAGGGTTTAAGTAGTCATAGTAAAGTCATAGTAATATCATCCCCTTGTAGTCCTTTAAAAATCACTACAACATACCCCCAACCCTTATTCTACTGACTGAGGCCCCTGCGTATTATTAACTCTATCTGCTAGCCGGAGAGAGATTCCCCCAGAAGTCCACGACATTTTCAGGTGGGTAGTTACCGTTATAGGAGCCTTATAGAAGGTCTCTATGCTTTATAGAACCGTTATAGAAGCCCTATATACCCTAAACTCCCCACCTAACCCTAAACCCTAAACCCGAACCCCAAGCGTCCCTTTAAGGGTCCCTTCTTTAGTCCCTAAACTCCCCACCTGTAGCTTCCTTTAAAGAAGAGCATTCCGGAACTGCGCACAGGAAACAGAGACCTGAAGCTCACGAAATAAAGTCGGGACCTTCAAAAATAAGAACAGGGTTTTGGGGTTCCTTTAAAGGGTTCCTTAAAGGGTTTAGGGTTTAGTCATAAATAAGGTTGTAAGTGAAGTACCTTATTCGATTTAGGTTGTAAGTAAGTACAGGTATAGTCATAATTTGTAGCCTTATCTATAAACCTAGTTTAATGGTACTTAGGACCCAGGACCCTTTTGAGTGACTGTCCATCGGAGGTAAAGCTCATCTAAACCCTAAGCCCTAAACCTTTATACCCTAAACCTTCATCTAAACCTTAAACCCTAAGCCCTCTTTTGGGTGACTGCCCATCGGAGGTAAAGCTCATCGACTTCGATACCGTGGAGACCGTGCAGCCTCAGACCCCGAAGAAGGCTAAGGCAGGGTGCTCAGAACTGGTTTGGAAGTTCGGGATCAGGGTTTTGGGGTGTAGAGGGTTTAGGATTTAGGGTTTAGGGCTTGGGATTAGGGTTGAGGGTGTAGGGGGTTTAGGGTCTAGGGTTTAGGGCTTGGGATTAGGGTTGAGGGTGTAGGGGGTTTAGGGGGTTGAGGGTTTAGAGCGATAGGAGGCTGGAGAGTCATTTGGAGTGAAGATATTACTGGTAGAAAGTGGCGTGCAGGGTGGCTCCGCGTGGCAATGTGGTAGTTTCCGAACATAAGGGGTACCTTATTTTGGGGTCCTTATAATAAGGATCCTACTATTGAAGGGTACTATATTGGGGTCCCCTATTTTCGGAAACCCCCGTGTCAGTGCAGGCACTTTGCATCCACGGGCACTTGACATCCTGAAGCCTAGCCGGCCTACTTAAAGGATCATGGGACTTAGTAAGTAAGGTTATAAGTCCCTTAATTGGGTTTTAAGTGTAGTTACCGTAGTTATAACCCTACTTACTAAGTCCCCTGATCCTTTAAGTAGCCATCCCCCATCCCAAGATCAGCGAAGGATGTCCTGGGAACTGACCAGTACATCGCCCAGGAGGCCAGGCCAGGGTAGGGTAGACAGTTTAGTATTGTTGTTGTAGCCTTTTGTTCAGATTCAGCCATCGCGTGTCGGTCTGCAAGTCCCTGCACGAGTATACGTCCTGCAGATGCATTGGTACGCTTCTCATGGTGTGTCAGGGGCTTCAAGCCTTTGTGCAATCGTGCGTAGTTGATGCCTCTGCTACTGCAGCACTGGGACCGCTGCGGTGCAGCGCAGCGAGAAGAACCTCGCTAGACGGGCAATAAGTAAGATGAACTCCCAGGCAATATTTCGGGAAGGAACACATATGCTACCTAACGTAGACACCGGTTCCGACAGAGTGATAGGATATCTAACATCAAAACCCGAAAAAATCTGAGTATTGAGGCGATTTCAGGGGTCGGAGCAAATCAATTGATAGGATCCGCTCATAGTTCTGGTATTCTTACACCCCAAGAGCCCAAGCCAATTTCTAGGTTAGTCTTATGAAGGTCCCTGCATTGCCACAAGCCAGATTGTCGAAGCCACGCCCCCGCAATTCTTAGGGTTTATAGGGGTTTGGGGTTTAAGGTTTTAGGGTGCTCCTCCTGACCCCATCTTCAGAAATCCCCCCCAGGGATCGGTACAGATCGGGTTTGTTTCCGGAATGGTCCATGCACCGTAGTTTGGCCCCAAAGTGCTTAAATAGGGATGAAGTCCAAAGAAAAAATACCATGGCCCCAAAGTACCTAAATAGGGACTACTTGAAGGGCAAAGTATACATACTATTGGGGCACATGTTGTATACAACGAGCTCCCCTCCCCACAAGTCATCCCTCAAACCCTAAACCCCAAACCTTAAACACTAAACCCTAAACCTTAAACCCTAAACCCTAAACCCTAAACCCTAAACCCACTAGTCCGGAAACATCCTTCTCTGTGGAGGCCTACGATGGCAACTACTCGGCCGCTTCGGACATCTTTGCCGTGGGTGTTATTGGCTACAGGCGATCTAGCCCATCTGCCGGGGATACCGTATGATTGTGTGTTCTGAGACGTGCAATAGCACCTATAATATAGTGGCTTTGATAATTACCAATACTATAATCACAGTATAGTATACCCCAAAACCCCATTCTAATGATTGAGGCCCCTA